GCCAAGAAGAAAACTATGAAAACTGTTTACCAAAAGAAACAAGTGGCAATAGGCTTGAGGAGAGAACTGGCACTAGTGTGATTTCCAGAGATCTACAAGGATGACACCAACTGGCAATCTAAGCAATAGTGGAGAGGCTACTTTAAATGCCCTTCCCAATAATGAGATTGATGGCTACCTTGTACCATCCTAGAGCCTTCATCCAGTAGCTGATAGAAGCAGAGGCAGACACCCACAGCTAAACACTGAACTGAACTCCTAGAACCCAGTTGGAGAGGAGTGATGAGCAAAGGGGTCAAGACCAGGCTATAGAAACCCACAGAAACAGCTGACCTGAACAAGGGGGAGCTCATGGACCCCAGACTAATGACTGAGAGGCCAGCATGAACTGATCCAGAACCCCTAAATTTGGGTGTCAGTGAGGAGGCCTCCCCAATCTATGGGGCCTCAGGTGGATCAGTATTTATCCCTGGCATACGAATGGACTTCGGGAGCCCACTCCACATGCAGGGATGTTCTCTCAGTCTCTGGACACATGGGGGACAGCCTAGGCCCTGCCCCAGATGATATGACAGACTTTGGAGATCCCCCCCATTGAGGTCCTCACCCTCCCTGGGAAGTGGAGGGGGGAATTGGGTGGGGGGTTGGTGGGACTGGTGGAGGGCAGGGGAGGAGGGGAGGGAGAGGGAGCTGGGATTGACATGTAAAGCAAGCTTATTTCTATTTTCTATTTTAATTAAAAAAAATAAAAGAAACAAGTGGCAAAGGTAGTTTTTCAACTTCACTAAACAGCAAAGTAATACAAATGAACCTGAAGCTCCAATTCTTCACCAAATCAACAAGAATAAATAAATACTTATCTATAGAAAGAATATAATACATAAATATTCAAACTCAAAGATACAATAATGTATTTTTAAACATAGTTCTAAACGGTATGATCAGGAGCCCTAAGTTCATACTCTTACCACAGCAGAATATAAAAATGGGACCAAATGGCAAGTATTAGGGAAGTTATTTTTATAGTTAACTAAATTATTCAAAATCCAAACAATCTAGGATAATGTATTAGTTAAAGGTTCAAAAATGCAATGTTATAAAGAACAACAACACAGAAGTATACACAGTATGACAAATTTGTTAAGTATTGTAGACAACAACATACTCAAATGTTAAAGTGGAATTATAGGGGGCTGGAGAGAGGACTCAGTGGTTAAGAGCACATGTTGCTCTTGCAGAACACCTGAGTTCAATTCCAGGCACCCACATGGTGGCTCCTCTAGTTCCAGGGAATCAAAAACCCTCTTCTGACTTCCACAGGCACCAAGCACAATCATTGTCCACCTACATGCATTCAGGCAAAACATCTGTACACATAAAAAAATAAATAAAAATAAGAAAACTTCAAAGTCACTTCTAAAAAGTGAACTTATGAGTAACTTAAAATTTTACTATTTTTAAAAAGATTTATCTTTATTTGTGTGTGTGTGTAGGCGTGTGTACATGTGTGCACGAAGGCCAGAGGCATCAGATCCCCTACAGCTAGCATTAGAGGCAGTTGTAAGTCATCCAATGTGAGTGGCTAGGAACTGAACTTCTGAAAGAACAGTACTCACTCTTAGTCACTGAGTCATCTCTCAACCCCAAATTTGTTACTTTTTAAGAATGTTTAATTCTTGACAAGAATCACTTAAGCATCATAATCATAGAAAAATAGCTAGACAAATTTGTCATGATGCATCTGAGCATACCAATATTTGTGGTGGATATTTAGTATAGAGACGCTGGCTTCAGTAGGGCTCAGCTGGTCTGAGGGCCTCACATGAATTAAAACTTCAGGTGATTGTAGACAGCAATAACCTACTCCAGAAAATGTAAGCTAGCTGACACAACTGACTCTTACCTGCTACAATGGGGACCCTTTTGGAACCTCATTCTGAAAAAGAATTTATAATACTATTAGACCACACAAAAGTAGGCCATAAGAGCCAAGATGAGACAAAGCTACCCTAAGGCTCACACTATGCTATTAATGAAAAGGAAGGGCTACAGGGGAAAAAAATGTTTTCTGGATGTTCATATATACAATGATGTAGATGTTTACTCAGGAAATTAATTCTTTGAACTGAAGTTTAATGCCCATTATTCTTATTAGCTAACATCAAAACTCTTTTAACAAACTTTACAGAGCTACAGTGATTTTTAGAGAAACTGTCCCCCATGAAAATATGTTCCATTCACAAACTGTAAAGAAAACATAAAACAAATGTTCCAATCATAAAACTGCAAAGATAATATATTAAAACATACCAAAAACTCTAGAGATAAGCCAGGCATTTGATAAAAGTCTTAAGTATTCAAGGTAACTATCACATAGCATTTTTACATAAATTATTATAAAGTACTATAAATTTATAAAATCTCTAAGTCCTCCAAATGAAAGTTCTGTCAGATTATCTTCATCATGTTCTTCCAAATATTTAAAGCATCCATATTTCTGAAAACTTCAGGAAAATGGTACAATGCAATACTAAGCAACCTATCAGTTAACTCATTTTTTAAGAACTTCATAAACATCTCTTCTCAAGATAGCAAACTAAATCGGTAAAGCCTGTACTACTCTGCATCATTATCTGCATTCTTTAAAAGAAAATATGCTGTTAAATTACTTAGCATATAGTACAATCAGGAAATTTCCTTCAATTTTTAAGATGTGACTAAACAAAATCTTATAATAAAGCATTTTCTGAATTACTAAACTGGCTTATCTTGACAAAAATCACATAGAAAGAAACTTTTTACTGTCCAATTGCTTTCCACTCTGTGTGGACAGCTGAACTCAAATTTCAGCATCCAAAGATTCACTTTAGGCACATCCAATGTAAGTTTACCCGAGTGTCCGTATTATTGCACTCAAGTTGGTTCATAGCACTTTTCAACAACTACTCTTGCTATAAGGTTGAGTGTGCCTCCCTTCTTGCCCAAAGTAATAACATGGCTCAGAAAATTAAAAAATGTATGTCTGTCACAGTAGAAATGTACAAGGTCACAGTTTTTCAGAGAGAACAATACAGTTGACCTGAAGTTCCTTATATTTAAACACTAGTTCAATGCTTTGCGTAATTGCCAAAAAAGACCATTTATGTCTGTTCTATGTGTAAATGGGGACACCTTCCCCTCCAAGAATATGAGCAGAGCACATCACAGTCATACAGTAGTCTCCATCATCAACTACCATTTGATTTTCCACAATTACCTTAGAAACTGTTACCTCTTATCAAAGGCCAAAAACTTACTAAATAGTATAAAAGAATAGAAACTATAGTAAATATTATTTACTTCAATGTTTGATTAGTACACAATTCAGAATAGATGGCAAACAGAAAGAAGACCAATGTTTCAGAAATCTTAAAAAAGGTTATGATAGAAATGAACAAACAACAACACCTAACCTATATATTAAGGAAATAAGGAGAGTGCTCATTAGACATTACTCGTTTCACCTCTACAATGGGATTCTAGCTTTAAAAAGAATTATTTGCCCACCTTCTCCCTTTCCATAAAAAAGGCAAAGTGCTGAGGAGGTTATATGAAAACCTGTTTATACTGAAATGAAGTACTATATGAAGAGATCCATTATAACTTGATTAATAGATTAGAACAGAATATAAGAATACACAAACAAGTTTACAGGTATGTAAAGGCTTCCTTTAAAATATTATTAAATAAAAAACTAGAATATACCTAGAATATCTTTAGAACAGCCCAAAAGTCTGCTTCTTTCATTTAAATCTTTCCCCACTCATTTTAATATAAGGAACTATTAAAGGAATTCAATCAAGATATTTCACAGTAAAAAGCATTTCTCAAGACCATTTAAACTCATATTTAATATGCTATATGAAAGAGTCTTATTGTTAGAAGTTCACATATAATACTTTTTAAACCATTCTTGCTATTGATTTTACATGGTTAGGTATAAATTTAGATAACCAATATTGTTTTTCTTGAAATAATCTTTTGTACACCAGCAATATGTTGCCTTATGCATAAAACAGAAAGCTAAAAAGAAAAAAGTCATCTATAAAACTTGAGAAAACCAAAACTTTCCCCTCTTTAATGCGGCAATAAACAATGTTGTCATGACCTATTAAACAAGTTACTTTACAAAGCATTCCTAGTCATATAATTCTCTTCAATACTGAGAACTCGTCACTTAAAATCCATTCAGATACCATCTCCCTTCCTCTATGAAATCTCAAAACTGTCTCTGTCGCACACAGTGTCCGATGTGACAATACAGGGAAAGCAGACATGTTAAAAATGTAATAAACTGCATATCCTTTTCTCTATGAGAGCTGAAACAAGCCAGTTTATAGATAACTTTTAAGATTAAGGGGAAAGTTTTTTTCTAAAAACATTCTTTACAATTTGAGTGACAAGGTGGGATAAAAAATGTGCAATATGGGTAACTAGTTTATCATCCACTAAACCTGGGGAAAAACACACACAACTATTGTTTTAGGAGAAACAGTAATTAGAAAGGTTTAATGAAATTATGTATCTATTATTCCAGACACCATAAGCTCAAGTGCGGAGACTAGATAATAAAGCAAGGTGCCTATTCCTGAGGAAAATGTACTTGTACTTAGTAATAATGCTGAACAGTGAGTATTAAATCTATGCAGTGCTAAAAGGCAATGATGGAAGTTCAGATAGTATGTTACAGAGAAAGACCTGTAAGAATTCCATTGCTTAAAAACTAATCTTGTCCCTGTCATTAACCACTTCATTTTTTGCTGATGTGCTAAAGTGCACTGGCAACTCAGAACAGGTTTGTTTGTTAAGTTGGCCATGTCTTGTTAATAGACTGCAGTCTTCAAATTTATAGAGAGCTGCAGGTCTCCTGGATTTTTTTCAAGTGTCACTCATCTAACTGAGTCTCACAGCTGAGAAAAGCCATCAGGTACTTTACAGTCAGTTTAAAAAACATCCTCTACCTGGTATCTCTGCAGTGATTGTCTTGCTGCTCCCTGAAATCTCTTCATCATCATCTGATGAGCTGGTGCTTGAGTCACAAGTCAGGTCACTATCACTGGTACTACTGTCCTGCAGCAGGTTGTACTTCTTCCTTGCAGCAGCCTCCCGTTTCTGCCTCAGTAGTCTGATCCTTTCCTTGTGCTTTTGGCTCCGATGACCTTTAACCTTGGTGACTCTGCCATTCTGCTTATCACTGGATTGCCGGTTTTTCTTGGCAGCCATAGTAGATGTTTCACTTTCAGAACGGGACCGTCTAGACTTGCGCCCAACAGTGGTACCAGACACTCCTGAAGTATCTCCTTCTACTGTTGTTTCTGCTTGAGAGGGTTCATTCTCTTCTACAGAAGACAACGTATCTGAATCAGCCAAGTGACCACTAGAGGAAGGGGAAAGCATGCAATGATTAGAGGAGTCACTCTCATAAACTCGGCCAGTTGTGGGCTTGTCACTCTCTGTGGATGCTAACTGAGACTCTGAAGAGTCCCTTCTCAGTTCCATCAACAAACAGGGCATTGAAGAAAGAACTGTAGAGTCAGCTACACCATCCTTCGGAACTTGAGATTCCAGTTCTACAGAACCATCTTCCTCCTTGACTGTCTCTTGTTCAGAGGTTTTTGGTGGGGCTGCAGACTCAATGAGTTCTTCTACTTTTCCCACTGTCTCCTCCATCTTCATTTCAGAATTCCAAATTAAATCATAGAGCAGAGTCTAGGAAGCGGTATCAAAGATGCAACAGGAAAGCAGCCTGCATGAAAACACAAAAAGTCATGACTAGAAATGGAAGATTATTTAACCTATTCAGTATGCTATTTTTCTAAGTGGCAAAAGTTACTACTTAGGCAGACCTTTAACTATGTACCCATACTCTGCATGACTGGCAGTCATACTCAAAGGACTTAATAGCAGCACAATCCTAGCAGTCTTATCTACTAAAAACAGAACATTAATCCCCTCTTGCTGTAATTACAGTAAGTAACCAGAGTTGAGTTTAGAACTTTAGACAGGGCTGGGAAAGTAGCATAGCACAGAGTGCTTGTTTAGGGTACCTGAATCCCTGAGTTCAATCCCTATAAGAAAGATTTAAAACAAGAAAGAAATCTTTGAAAACCTTTAATTAACATAATGTGTACTTGACTTTAGTATAAATAAACACAATGGTTTAAAATACAACTATTCTGAGGTTGGAGGTGTAGTTCAGTTGGTAGAGTGTTTGCCTCACATATATGAAGCTGGGGTTCAATCCTCACCACACTAGCTTGAACTAGACATGATGGTACAGGCCTGTGATTTCAGCACTAGAGGGGCAGAGACAGGAAAATCAGGAGTTCAAGGTCATCCACACTGAATTTCAGGTCACCCTGGGATACTTGAGAGCCTATATCAAAAAAAGAAAAAACAAAGGCCAAAAAAAATCACTGGGGCCTTGGGTAGTAGATCAGTGTTTACCATGGTGTATGAATGATCTTTGGGAGCCCATTCCAAATAGAGGGATGCTCTCTCAGCCTGGACACATGGGGAAAGACCTAGGTCCTACTACTCTGGATGAAATGACAGACTTTGGAGATCCCCCCAAGGAGGGCTTCACCCTCCCTCAGGAATGATGTGGGAACTGGGTGGGGGGCTGGGGGAGGGCTGGTGGTGGGACAAGGGAGGAGGGGTAGGAGAGGAAGCTGGGACTGACATGTGAAACATTCATGTTTCTAATTTAGATAAAAACATATATTGAGGGGGGAAAAAAAAAGAAAAAACAAAAACAAAAAACCAAGTAGGAATAGCCTGACCTGTAGATGGTAGCACAGGCCTAGAATCCTACTTGGGAGGCTGAGGTATGAGGATCCCAAAGTCACCTACTTGGACAACTTGGGAGATCCTGTCCCAAAATGAAAACAAAGAAGGCAGAAAGATGGCTCAGTGTTTGTTAAAGTACTTGCTCTTGCAGCACACCCTGGTTTGGTTCCCAGAACCTACACATCTGCTCCCTTGAATTAAAAACTAATAAGCCAATTTTTTCTGATAAAAAAATGAGAGTTGGAGCTGGCAAGATGGCTCAATGGGTAACATGAAAGCACTTACCACCCAGCCTTATGGCCTGAGATTCAGAGTGGAAAAGATGCCTATAAGGTATCTTTTGACCACTACATAGACACTGCACTGCCCTGTCCTGGGGTTCTGACAGGATACACCCTCAGCTGCAGCCACTAAGAGCACCACCTATGCCCATTCATTCATTATCTTCCCTTTTAAAAGGGCCCTGCCCACCTCCCATTCTCCTCTCTTTCTTTCTCTCCCTCTTTCTGTCTTTCTACCTGTCTCTCTGCATCTCTTTCTTCTCTCCCACTGCTCCTGTCCCTGGAGGCCAGGTCCACACCCCCCCTCCCCGTGCCCCTTTTATGATTCCTTTCCCTAATTTAAAAACACACACACACACACACACACCTCTACTTGAACTCTGTCACATGGCATCATTCTCTCTCGAGTCACTTTTTTTAAATTACAACAACATATGTATAACTCCACCCTAAAATAAATAAATAAATTTATTTTTTTAAAAAAATTAGGTAGGCTTTGTATTTGCAAAAGCCCTGACTTCAATCCCAAGCACTACACATGATCCAACATGCAGAAGGTGGTAGTAGGTGAAGGTGAAGATCAAAAATTCAAGATCATCCTTGGCTACATAGCAAAATCAATGCCAGCTAAAGCCATATGAGGAGAGACAGAGAGAGAGAGGGGGAAAGAGGGAGGGAGAGGGAGAGAAAGAAGGAGGGAGGGGGAAGGAGGAAGGGAGGGGAGAGAGAGAGGGAGAATCTCAACTGATACTTCTGTTGAGAATCCATTCATACACTCTAGAACAAAGTTTTTTTCTTTAAAGTGAAATATCTAAAAATATCTAATTTAGTCAAATCACTAAAATGAAAGTAATGCCAATTATAAAGCAAACACATCAAAATCTTGTTTTGAAAGAAAGAAGCACTAGATCATTTCAAAGTATTACAATATAGCATCGGACTAAAAATCATTTATTGCCTTTCTTCGGTGCTGCCAAGGTACAGTCTTCTAAAACAGCTAACGTGGCACTGGATGAGGGTCTCATTCCATCTAGAGAGTAACCAGCATATCACCCAGCAATTGCAGTTTCCCTAGCACCATTCCCACTGTGTACCATGACTTATCTCCATGTTTGCCTGCATCTACTCTGCTCTCCTCCTGCAAGATGAAGTGACCTACACAGGGAAGATCGATGCACTCATCAAAGCAGCAGGTGCAAATTTTGAACTTTTTGGTCTGACTTACTTGCAAAGAGTCTGACATGCATCACAGGGGCTGCTGGACCTGATCATACAGCTGGTGTCACACTAGCAGGAGCCCTGCCCACTGCTGCCATCAGAACAAGAGAAAGCAAGAAACAAGAATTAAGAGTGGGCAGCTGAGGAGAGATGGCCCAGTGGTTAAGAATGCTTGCTGCTCTTCCAGGAGACCTGAGTTCATGCGGTTCCTAACACTCACACTGGGCAGCTCACAACTGCCTCCTGCAGCTCCAGATGCAAAGGATCCAAAGCCTTTCACCTTTCTCTGGCGTCTTAGGCACACACACACACGTGGCATACATTCTCATATTCATATTCATATTCTCTCTCACACACACTCACACACACACATATCAAAATGAATCTTAAAAATAGAAAAAAGAAGCCAGATGGTGGTGGCACAAAACTTTAGTTCCAGCAGAGGCAGGTGGATCTCTGTGAGTTAGAGGCCAGCATAGTCTACAAAGAGAGTTCCAAGACAGCAAGGACTGTTACACAGAGAACCTTGTCTCCAAAAACCAAAAAAAGAGGGAGGGAGGGAGAAAGGGAGGGAGGGAGGTGAACACAGAGACCTTGATAATGACATGGGCTTTAGTTTATTCTTGCTGTTATTGTTTCTTTTAAGAGTTACTTTAGCATTTTAGAAAATAATAGTGATGGATATATTCTAAAAAGGAATCAGCTTTAAAATGTATCCCATATCTACATATAGATCTACTAGGAGAGAATGAGGTTTTATTAGCCTCAGATGTTTATGTTCAACCACTGTCTAATCACTAGTTGTTGATCAGTAACAGACATAACAAAAGCAACCACTAAAAAAGCTTAATTTAAAGAAAGGAAGAAAAAATATTGAGTAGAGAAACTAGTAGCTATATCCTAGAGTGAAAACATTTCATGGATCTGTTATCTAACAAAGAAAGTGTAAACATCTTCAAAAGGACAAAGATCAAAATCCAAAACTGGAACAATATTTTGTCTGAAATGTCGAATTTCAACAAAAAAAATTAAGACTTCCAAAAGAAACAGGAAACTGTGACTCCTACACAGGAGAAAAAAGTAGTCACTGGGAAAAATTCTCAGATGTTAGACTTAGCAAAGACTTCAAAGGAGTTATTTAAAATATGTTTAAAACACTTAAGGGGCTAGGTATGCATTCTCAGTGATAAAGAGAGCTTACCTAGCATGCACAAATCCTGATCTTGACTCTCAGCAAACACACACACACACACACACACACACACACACACACACTTATTTAAAAAGAAAAAAGAAAAATAAATAGTACTTTGAAGAATGGACAAAATAGCAAATACCATCATTCATTTAATGGTATTCCTCAAAAGAGAATAAGACACAAGAAAAAAAAAGGGAGGGGAAAGGATCCCAAAGCCAGTGGTAGCATTCACTTGTGATCCCAGTGCTTAGAAGGTAGATGCTGAATCAGAGTTCAATGTCTTTTTCAGATACAAAGCAAGTTCAAGACCATCCTAGCTACATAACACCCTGTCTCAAAAGGAAGGAAGAGGGGGAGGAAGGGAGAGGGAGGCAGGGAGGGAGGAGGGAGAGAGGGAGGGAGGGAAGGAAGGAAAGAGGGAAGGGGGGAAGGAGGGAGGGAGGGAAAGAAAGAGAGATGGAAAGAGAAAGAAAGAAAGAAAGAAAGAAAGAAAGAAAGAAAGAAAGAAAGAAAGAAGAGAGAGAGGAGGGAGGGAGGGACAATTAACAATTCACACACACACTCTCTAAATTTGATTTTTTTAAAGTCTAAGAGGTTAAAAAAAACTCAAGATAAATGCACAGTGATCCACATAATCACATCATAGATAAGTAAAAGAAAAAAGAAAAATACTGAAATCAGCTAAAGTAACCCATCAAATACAAAAGAACCTTATTTCAGTTTGACTTCTTTTTTGAAGCAGAAGCCAGAAGTAGTAGACTCACACATTCCAAGCACTGAGGTAGAAAACTGTCAATCAAGAACTCCAATTCCAACAAAACTATTCTTTCAAAATGAAAACAAGAAATTCAAAAGGAAGTGATATGATCCTCCATTCCCAAGACAGATCTCAAACAACAGTGTTAAAAATTCTGACAAACCAAGCTTAAGGCCAAAACTAACGTTATTAAAACACCTTTCTCAGGCTGGAGAGATGGCTTACCCTGCCATTTCATATGTATGCTCTAGCATTAGATTTTTATGAATTCTAACTGTACTGTCTTACACAAAATGTATAGGCTAAGATGGATTTCTAGTTTTAAAAAAAGACTCAGTATTTTTCAGAGAGTCAAGGTTTACTGATAAAATAAGAATGATTCTGTTCATTAAGAGTATAAGAAATGTTCCCTGTCACAGACATTTGAAAGGAGAAAAAGCCTTAGAAGTGAGATAGTTCTATTCCCTTGCAACATACAACTGCTGTTTAAGTAATCTGGTTTC